TAATGGCATTAATTACATAAGATTAAATTGGAAGGTTGGTCACCCACCAGTAGTCTAAGATAACATGTTTTGATAACAAACACTTTTTTCAGCACCTAGCTTTTTCATGCACATTGATTTATTCTGTTTATATAAATGCATGAAAAACTAGTAAACACTTGACACCCTAATGCATTACTCAGAACATACCACAGTAACTGGCATGCAAACTTATTTATATATTTTATAAACAATCGTAACAGGATGTTTTAATGCCAAAAATGTAGATATTATAATGCATTGGGAGAGACGATAAATGCGAAAGGATCCATAAAATATAAAAAAAAACCCTAGTATTAAGCTTAGAATGTTTAAATCTATGAATACGTCATCTTATTTAAGGGTATTCCATTTCCTTGAGGTTGTAAACAGACATTCAACCCTAATGTCCTACATAGTTAAAAACAGTTAGTATTATCATTTGTTATAAAGAGATACCCCCGATAAATGCTACAGTCAAGTTAAATTAAATTTGATCAAAAAAATATTTTGAAATTTCAAAAATAAAAAAAAAATATTAAATGATTATTTCTGGACTCCACTATTACATGACTTCCATCTCAGTCAAACAGCTGACAATTAGGTTTGATTTTTTTTTTTTACTAATAACGCTTTTTTATTTCTGTTTTTAAAAATCATTTCCGATTTTATTAATTATATTTCTTAATTTTAGATTGAAGACTTGTACCGTTTTAGGATTTTTTTTTAAATAGAAAAGCCAGTTTGCATCAAATATTTTCAATAAATCACAAATGAAAGGAAGAGCATACTCTTCTTCAACTTCCTACAATGTTGTTCAATGGAGACAGTTATAAAATACTTCAATTTAAAAAAAAACATGATAAATCTGTTTTAAATATTTTCAGAGAATTTTTAATATAACTGATATTAAAAATCGTTCATGTAAATTAAGCACAGATGATACAAACTTCCACATTTTTCTGTGGAAGAGACTTCATATTATGTAACAAGTTTAGAAAAGTGCATAATTCTTAGACTTTTTTCTCCTAACATCTGGAAAATAAAATAGACTTGTAAAATATTAGTACTATTTCAATAAAAATCAAATATAGACAAATCAGACTCAGTAAAGGTTTACAAGTGAAAAGAAATTTCAGAATTTGTTATATTGGTGCTAAAAGTGTAATATAAATTAAAAAGAAAAATATACCAGCCAGGTGGTTTTCATGAGGAAAAACAAAGTGACAAGAATTCAGCAATATCATATAGGCTAATTTCACCAGTTGCTTTTTCAGATAAAATTCACCTTGCTTGTTATACTTTTCTAAAGCTTATATTACACTTTAGCACCAATTAAACATATTCTAAAATTTGTTTTCATCTGTAAACCTTTACTGAATTTGTTTTGTCCATATTTGTAAATTTATCGAAATAGTACTAATATTTTCAAAGTCTATTTCATTATCCACTTTTTAAACCTTGTGGCATGATACTTAGTCTCCTCCAAAGAAAAAAAATTGTATCATCTGTCCTCAAAGGTGAAACGTGGGATTTTATATTTTGCTCGAAGGGATAGATATACAAGCCGAATAAATTGTTTATACATATAATGATCTTTTGCAGCAAAAACTCTTTCAGGTCATCTGTTCTTCTCCTGATAAGTTGCTAGAGTTTATGGTGCTGAACTATATTTTATATATACGAAACAGGTGGAAAAATATTTTAAGCTAAAAACATTTCAGACAATCGGATAATGGTCAAAAATTTGTTGGTGTCTGGTCATGGGCTTAATACTTTTTTCTGTTCAAATTTTTTTTTATCATTTAATAGATTAACAGAAGCTTTGGACTAAGATTTCAAGAAAGTTGCGTCTCAAAATTTTAGCTAATTGTAATTGTACAGAGCTAAGAGAAACAACCATGGCTTTTACAACGGATCATTAAAAAAAATCATAGTAAGATAGCACACTGTATGCACTAAATGATGTGTTACCGTCGACATGAAGTGATTCCCTGAATAAGTACATGCATGTTCTTCACTCTTATCTCCATCACTTTGTAAGTACATGCATGTTCTTCACTCTTATTGGAAAAACCGTGTTATTTTAAGAGCATTTAAAATACTTGTCAGAATATAAACATTTTTTAAAGTTACATTATTAAGATTCCTCCATTTTATCATTTAGGAAATGTGTACATTTTTACGTTTAAAGTTTCTTGTCTGGGTCCAATAGTTCTTTAAATCTGATGTGCCGTCCACAACCATTCCAATGCGGCGAGAGCGATTTTCTTCCTCTTTTGTTCGAATCAAGCTGAATGTGCCGTCTTGTAATCCGGAATTTTTTCTTCCAGGATGCCTTGGTTTTCTTTTTTGTTTGTATTTGTTATTTCCGTGCGTGTTGCACGAGATTTTTTCTGTCACTCGTCTCCTTACTCAGTACATGTACAGTCATACTGTTGTTACAGTTGTTTACTCTGCCCACAATGTAAGTATTTCTCATATATTTAACTTCTTTCAGTTATTTGTATAATGCTTATATATTTTCGGCAAAGTATTTCTTTCTAAATGTGCGTGAATTTTCTGTTAAATTTTACCGGGAATTTTGAGTGGCTAAATTTTTCCATGTTTTGTCAGTGTATGCAGATATTTGTAAAATAATGCTAATTTTACAAACACATTTATCTCAGTATTGTGTCATATTTATTAAGCAAAGGTATTTTTTCAGATTTTTTATTATTAATTTTCTGAACTTTGAGCATTGTACATCACACGTATTATTGTTTTTGTCTATTGTAGCTTTTCGCCATTTCGTTTCGTTTCGTTTCGTTATGTTTCGTTTCGTCTCAATAAATCATAAGAACAACAGTTAACTAGCTGTGGTTATTAATGGAGGCAGCATAGTGAAAAGATTGGTGAAAACGTTCCAGAGTTTCAACTACACAGACATGGCTCATAACCTGGGGAAGATTTCTACAGAGGACGAAGATACGTCACGTAGAGTGCACACCCTCACACAGAAAGCAAATGAACAATATCAAGAAAAAGTTCAGAGGTATAGAGACATACTTTTACGCTTCTCAGAGGATATTGAAAGTGTATTGTTAGAATGTGCTTCATCTGCAAAAGAGATCTACGCATTAAAGTCAGTGAAAGAGAAACTTGAGGACAGTTTCAAACGTTACAAAGATTATCATGAAGAATTCGGTGATTACCTCGATAGAAAACACACAGCTGATAGTACACAAGAGTTAGACACTATACGGAAGAATTTTAACGAGATAAATAAGAAGGTTCAAAACGCTTTAGTGAAAGTACAAGATGATATTGATTTAGTCCAGTTGGAAGTGAACTCTAACCCATCTCATAAGACAGCAAGTTCTAAATCATCAACGCTTAGTAGACGTTCACAACAGAGAGTGGAGGAAGCTAAAACCCGCCTTAAAATTGCTGAACAGTCTGCAAAACTGAAAAAACAAAAGTCCAAAATCACCTTAGAAGACAAAATCCACAAAGCTCAAAGTCAACGGCAGCAGGAAGATATAGATGTGGAATTGGATCTACTACAAAAACAGGAAGAACTGGACATTGCAAATATGCGTCTTAAATTTGAACTTGAAGAGGAGGAAGAAACCACGGAACATCAAGATTTAAAACCCAGTGTTCCTAGTGTATCTGGTGAGCAGAAAACAAGAAACTTTGTTGACAATCTCACATTGAACCCTAATGCTGAGCCTTTCATATTCAATAGTGGAACTCGTACAAACCATCTTCAGAGAAATGTTGACAATTATTGTTCACCGCTGCTACAGATACCAACGCAGTCTACCGTGAATTTACCATCACAGAACTATTCAGATGCTTCGAATTTCCTTCTCAAAAAGAACTTACTGTTGGAAAGTTTTCAACAACAGCGTTTTGATGACAAACCAGATCGATATGTAGTGTGGAAAATACAGTTTAAGACTATGGTGTCAGAAATAAGGTGTTCACCACTGGAAGAATTAACTCTTCTCACCAATTGTACAAACAAAAACTCAGAAGCTAACAGACTGATTATGAGTCCTAGAGCTTCATGTGCGAGTAATCCAGAACTATGCTTATTCAATATCTGGAAACGTATGGACGAAAGATTCGGATCGCCTGAATTGATAGAATCAAGCCTGAAATCCCGTCTGCAAACTTTGACAGATTTCACAGACCACAAGAAGTTGTATGAACTACATGACCTACTTTGTGAGGTACAGGCCGTGAAAGCTATTCCAGAATACAGTGTGATGTTTTCATACCTTGATTCATCTCTTGGATTGAAACCTATAGTTCAACGACTTCCTGGATATCTCCAGGAGAAGTTGATTAATCGTGTGGTTCATTACAAGAAAGAACACTGTGTAATCTTTCCTCCTTTCAGTGAGTTTGTGGCATTCATTGGTGAGATGAGCATCATCAGAAATGATCCTGGGTGGATATTTGATGATTCTAATAAGGAGAACCGCCTTGATCGCTAAGGACAAAGTAAAGTTAAATCTGCCGTATTTACCCACAAAACTGACATTTCATCAGAAACAGTGAATGGCGGACATCAGTGTTTGATTCACAAAGGATCTCGACATACTATAAACAAGTGTAAAGCTTTCAGAACCAAAAGTATCGAGGAACGCAAACACATTCTACGAGATCATAACATTTGTTTTCGTTGTTGTGAAACGTCAGATCACTTCACTAATCGATGTAAATCCAAAGTTTTGTGTGATGTGTGTAAAAGTACCTACCACTGTACAGCTCTTCATGAGGATGTAAGTAACCGTCAGATGTCCAGGAATTCTTCTTCTCGACTAAATCATGGCGAGGAGGAAAACTCACTTTCTGAAAATTTGAAGCAGTCAGTTTCTTCTAACTGTACTGATATTTGAGGTGAATTTAGTGGAAAGTCATGTGCAAGGATTGTACCAGTGCGAGTATATGTTCAAGGTCAACGTCAAGCATCGATTGTGACTTACGCTATGTTGGATGACCAAAGCAACAAAACTCTAGGTAAAAGTTACCTTTTTGACTCTTTGTGTATCAAAACTCTGCCAGTTGACTACACAATGCAATCGTGTTCAGGCAAGGTTACCAGAAGTTGGCGTGTTGCTGACAACCTTGTCATCGAGCCAATCAGTAACAATCGTCAGTTGAAATTACCACCTGTCTTGGAGTGCGACAACATACCAAACAGTCAGACGGAAATTCCTACACCGGATATCGCTCGTCATTATCCACACCTGCAGGATATTGCTCGAGACCTACATCCGTTAGATCCATCTATGGAAGTCCTACTGCTTATAGGACGGGATCTTCCAGAGGCACATCACGTTATTGATCAGAGATTAGGACCACCACGTTTTCCTTTTGCTCAACGATCTCCTTTAGGATGGACAATTATTGGAGATGTTTGTTTGTCTGGAAAACACATTCCACCATTGCATGTCAACAGAACTTTCATCGATAAAAGTGGTCGACCTACAATGTTGGAACCATGCAAACAAACGTTAAACATACAGAACACTGTCATCACTACGAACAAGACTGTCATCGGAAAAACAGATATCTTCAAGAAAACACCAGATGACAATAAACTCGGCCTATCGATTGAAGATCGCACTTTTCTGAAGATTATGGACGACAAGTTTCATCTTTATCCAACCGAAGGAAAATGGACTGCTCCATTGCCCTTCCGGCAAAATCGTGAACAACTTCCAGACAACTACTCACAAGCACTGTTTCGTGCTAAATGTCTTGATGCCTCCTTAAGAAAAACAACGTCAAGAAGGAACATTTCACTACATTTATGCAGAAAATATTTGACTGTGATCATGCAGAATTGGGTCCATATATACTACCGGATAAGGAACATTGGTACCTTCCACTTTTCGGAGTCTACCATCCTCATAAACCGGATCAAATTCGTGGTGTCTTCGACTCCTCAGCGGAATTCAAGGGTGTGTCCTTGAACCAACAGCTGTTACAAGGACCTGACTTCATAAACAATCTCCTGGGAATTCTCATTCGTTTCAGGAAGGAAAGAGTAGCCGTAGTTGCTGACATTCAAAGCATGGTTCACTCATTTCTGGTGGATGAAGGCCATCGTGACTATTTACGTTTCTTGTGGCACAAGGATAATGACTTTGAAAAACCACTGGTTACTTACCGCATGACAGTTCACGTATTTGGCGATCGCTCCTCTCCTTCCGTGGCAATGTATGGTTTACGTCGCATTGGTGAGCTAGCTGCTAAGACCCATGGACAGGAAGTGAAAGACTTCATTGTGAACGACTTTTACGTAGACGACGGCTTGAAATCTTGTGCAACTACTTATGAGGCAGTCAGCCTCATACACAAAACTCAAGATGCCATGAAGGAGTATGGTAACATAAAACTTCACAAATTCTCATCTAACGTCAAAGAAGTTATGGAAGCCTTTGATTCTAACGACCTTGCCAAGAACCTTGTTGACCTGAATTTCGATAAGGATGCCTTAACTCAAAGCAGTCTTGGACTTCTGTGGGACTTACAGACAGATACCATTAGATTCAAAGTTTCTAGTGAAAACAAACCATCTACAAGGAGAGGTGTACTTTCTGTTGTGAACCGTCTTTATGATCCTCTCGGATTCATCGCCCCAGTTATTATTCAGGGCAAGATCATTTTGCGGAAAGTAGTGTCAGACACTTCAGACTGGGATGAAGCCCTGCCTGATTACCTACTTTAAGAATGGGAGAAATGGAAAAATGACTTACCCGACTTGGAAAAGTTACAAATTCCTCGAGTGATTGTTCCTAATCTGAGCGAAGAACATAGGAAAGAACTACTCATTTTCTGTGATGCGTCCGAACTAGCCATAGCTGCTGTTTGCTATTTAAAGGTGCACTATCCCGATGGTTCTACTTCTCAAGGCTTCGTTTTAGGGAAAGCGAAAGTGGCCCCTGTCAGTGGACATACAATTCCTAGACTAGAACTTTGTGCCGCGGTACTTGCTGTGAATATAGGACAAACAGCAAAAGAATAGCTAAAGATAGAAATAAACAATGTGAAATATTTTAGTGACAGTCGGATTGTGTTAGGATACATAAACAATGCTAAGAAACGATTTTTGTGTACGTCGCTAATCGTATTGCTCACATTCTCAGTCTTAGTGATCCGTCACAATGGTTCTACATACGTAGTGAAATCAACCCAGCAGATGTTAGCACGAGAGGAATTCTCCCGAGGGAAATGCAGAACTGTGTCTGCATCTCTAACCTAGAAAAAACAGACATCATAACTTCTGAAGAACATTTTCCTCTTGTGAGTCCCGAGGAAGACAAGGAAATCCGCTGTAACAAAACTGACATTGAGACAAAATCAGCTTACGGCCTGAGCAATGATTTCCTCACAAAATTCTCAAAGTGGAACAAACTTGTAGCAGTGGTTGCTAAAGTTTATGGATTTAATCAGAAGTGTCGTAAAGCAGAGAGCATGATGAGTGATGTTGACCTTCTGTGCAAAGCTGAAATGGTCATTATCAGAGACATTCAGCAGAATTTCTATTCTGAGGAAATTGAAAACTTACAGGACTCTAAACCTTTGTCAAAAAACAGTCCTATTCTAAAACTAGACCCGTACATTGACAGTGAAGGCATTTTACGTGTTGGTGGTCGCTTGAGAAACCTCAGTGCTGATGCTTCATTCAAGAACCCAATGATTCTACCTGCGAAACATCATGTAACCACTCTTATTGTCAGAAAACTTCACTCAGATGTTAAACACCAAGGACGTCATATTACAGAGGGTCATATTCGTTCATCTGGATTTTGGATTGTCGGAGGTAAAAGACTTGTGTCATCTGTCCTCCATAAGGGCGTCACTTGCAGGAAGCTTAGAAAAGTACCAGAATACCAGAAAATGTCTAACTTACCTGAGGATCGTCTCATACCAGGGCAACCACCCTTCTCTAACGTTGGAGTTGACATTTTTGGACCGTGGAACATTATCACACGACGTACCAGAGGTGGCGCAGCAAACAGTAAAAGATGGGCTGCTCTATTCACTTGCCTCGTTACCAGGGCTGTACATATCGAAGTCATAGAGGAAATGACATCATTTTCATTTATAAATGCGCTCTGTCGATTTATCGCCATACGTGGGCCTGTTCACGTCTTTCGATCTGACAGAGGAACAAATTTCATTGGCGCTGCTAAGGAGTTAAAGGTCAATGTGATAAATGTAGAGGATGAACATCTCCACAACTTTCTCAACGAGCAGAAAGGAGGAGTGTGGGAGCAGATGGGAGGAGTGTGGGAACGTATGATTGGGATCACCAGACGTATATTGGATGCTATGCTACTTGACTACGGATCTAGGAGTTTAACGCATGAGGTGCTCACTACATTCCTAGCAGAAGCTTCATCCATAATCAACTCAAGACCCCTTGTGTCGGTACCTACAGATCCTGAGAATTCATTTGTGTTAACCCCATCAACTCTACTCACTCAGAAAACAAGTGTTAAAGACAACAAACTGTTCTCTGATCATGTTAACAAGAGTGAGTTGTTACAGACACAGTGGAGGAGGGTACAACATTTAGCATCCATTTTCTGGAGACGATGGAAAACGGAGTACTTGAACACTCTTCAGATGCGCCGTAAGTGGAATCTACCCCAAAGAAATCTATCATCCGGTGATGTGGTGTTACTTTGCGATAAAGAACTACCTCACAATTCTTGGCCAATGGGAATCGTTGTCAAGTCTCTACCAAGTGATGATGATCTAGTGCGTAAAGTGATAATTCGTATTATCGCGAATGGTGAACCCAAAACTTATGTGCGTCCCGTTACGGAACTTATTGTTCTTGTGGAACAGTGAACATTTCTGTCATTCAGTGCAACAGATAATACAAGAGACTGTAAATGGACTGTAATTTAATTGATTACATGTTTACATTATCTTAAATGTCTATTTTGGAATTTGATGATATTGTTAATATCAGGCGAGGAGTGTGCCGTCTTGTAATCCGGAATTTTTTCCTCCGGCATGCCTTGGTTTTGTTTTTTGTTTGTATTTGTTATTTCCGTGCGTGTTGCACGAGATTTTTTCTGTCACTCGTCGCCTTACTCAGTACATGTACAGTCATACTGTTGTTACAGTTGTTTACTCTGCCCACAATGTAAGTATTTCTCATATATTTAACTTCTTTCAGTTATTTGTATAATGCTTATATATTTTCGGCAAAGTATTTCTTTCTAAATGTGTGTGAATTTTCTGTTAAATTTTACAGGGAATTTTGAGTGGCTAAATTTTTCCATGTTTTGTCAATGTATGCAGATATTTGTAAAATAATGCTAATTTACACACACATTTATCTCAGTATTGTGTCATATTTATTAAGCAAAGGTATTTTTTCAGATTTTTTATTATTAATTTTCTGAACTTTGAGCATTGTACATCACACTTATTATTGTTTTTGTCTATTGTAGCTTTTCACCGTTTCGTTTCGTTTCGTTAGGTTTCGTTTCGTCTCAATAAATCATAAGAACAACGGTTAACTAGCTGTGGTTATTAATGGAGGCAGCATACTGAAAATGAGTGCACCAGAATCTCCAAGATGGGCAAAAGATGTACTGGTTCCAAAACATTCCACCTGGGACTGGTACACAAACGAACTTTGAGAAGATGGTTTACCTAGATCTTCTATATCGATTAGACCGTTTGACAGATATTTCGTTTAAAAGTAGAACACAATTGTAAATCTAATGTTTCCTCCCTATTTAAAAACATACATCTTTTAGATGGCCAAAGTTGTCCTGGCGATTATCCCGTAGAGTACACTCGGTATACTTGGGAATGTTTTCCTGTTAAAAACTGTAAATATTTTATCTATGTCAGGTTCATTATCAGTGTAACCTCAATACTAATGTACCGATTTGTTTCCAACAATTAAAACTTTCTTGCATTTTTTGAAAGAACTTTCAACAAGTGACATTACTATATTGTAATCCGAAACTTCAAAAAAAAAAAATCCTTAAAACAAAGACACATAGAAGATTGTGGTAAATCTTCAAGCCTGTTTCATTAATTCGTACTAAAATATAAACAGCAGTGAAAAAGAAATGAGTATCGTGAAACCAGATATTTAAACAGTGGCGTAAATTGTATGAAAATTCAAAAAAACTTTTGAAAAAAATTGAAATCACCAAATTTTACCAAAATCATTAACCCTAAAAGGTGCAACTTTTCAGCTCTCTACACAACCATTCCCCATTCCCCATGATAAAGACAAGGCTCTATGACGTCATTGACAGTTGCCTTTTTAAAATATGAATGGAACTCGTTCATTTTCTTACCCCTCCCCCCCCCCTCCACATTGGTCATTTGTAAATATTTTGTTTAAAAAATCATTCTGATTGTAAACACAAGTACATGTACTCTAAAGTTGATATTAAAAAGGTTAGACGTGGCGCGCGATACTTGTGTTACTTTCACATAGAGCATTGGGAAATTCATTTGTATGGTTGTGTAGAAATATATGAATAATGACAATATCATACTTAAAATATATTTTAGACATTTTTATTTTTAAAAATATAGCTAGATATACGGAGATATCGTCATTTTTATGATGTCCCAGCGTTACATAAAATGTGAAAGCGCTTAATCAAAAAGTTGTTAAAATAATAAATCCTATGCCTAATACCATAAAAATTGGTATATGATTGTATCAGTTGTATCCAAAAAGGATGTGATAAATAATTTGAATGCTCGGAGGACAAAAATGATATATCAGCACAGTAAATGTCGAAGACCTAGGTGTCTAGTTTTTGTAGACTTAGGTGGAACCAAACTATAAGTCGTGAGTACCAAGCCTAATCTATGGGTTAGATGATAATTTCTGGTATAGTTATAATGTACATGCATTGTAGAACACAGCAGTTACCAATATAATATAATTTTGGTAATATCTATTAAGCGGGTCGATTGTTTCTGTGTCCAGTGGAATGTCCCATTTATAAAAATATCGCACCTTTTTAACAATTATATCATTTTATCTTATAATTTCGAGTAATATACCAACGCGAATACTTAAAATAGTATAACCTACAAAAAGTACATAAAATTAACTGCAGAGAATATACAAATTTTCAGGTTATCCCGCATCAACTTTTACAAGGTTAGAGAAGTTTAAATGTACAAAGAATTGTCCCATGTTCGTATGACACGCCGTAACGTGACGTAACATACATGTGCAGTAGGCTACTCGTCAAGATTTGCCTGGTCCCCTAGCTCACTTTTTTTAATTCTAAAACAATATTATGACACAAATTTATCCTGCGCCTTTATCATTCTTTTCTGCGAAAAATAATTTCAAATTGAAATCAGGCCAAAGCATAGTGACATATAGGGTCACATGTATATTTCGAAAACTGAAACAAATAACATAAAATATTATTGTACCTGTAGCACAGACTAGACTTAACAAATACATGTATCCTGAGTCCTGATATAAATGTCAAATCTGAAAAAAAGGACAGGCACTTAAAGAACCAAATGAAAAAAAAAAATTATATTCTTAGTATTTTACATGTAAGCAGTAGACATATATCTTTAATTGTTAGAGTCTTTTAAAATTAAAATAGGCGCTCCTTTTGTGAATACGAAAAACTATATTGCAGTCTGTCCTGCGTCCACAAATACCATATACTCCATTCTTTACATGTAGTTAATAATATAAGGTAA